ATTTTTGTCTCTTTGTTTGTATTTTTAGCAAAAAAAAGGCAGTGAGGTAAAATCCATGGGTGTGAATACTTTTGGTAGACACCCTATGGTACATGTTTCACAATAATAACAATAATAATAATAATTAATAAAAGCATTTTGTGTGAGCTCTGTAATTCTTTTTTGACTTTTCATATTTAGAGAAGTGATGTTTTTTGTCAAGGGGTTGAGACTGATGTTCAGAAACAAATGCATCTCTAAATCATTGCATTGTGCTAATACACAATTGGTTGTTGCAGAGAGGACCACACCCTGATGATGAGTTATTTAATCTCATTAGTAAACCTTTGCTGCTTTTTATGTAGCTTCTTAAAAAAAAAAAAAAAATCAGTAAGAGTTCTCCTGAGCTCTAAATAGCAATTATTAGTGGAAAAATGTTTTATCTGAAAGATTTGGCCTTATCTACACAAACTACAAATCCCAGAATACTGTTCCAGAGCTAAAGCTGGTCATATGACCGAGCAGAGGGAGCAGGTGGTTTGTGGTCATATGATGTTATTAGCCAACACTCAGAAGCAGCAACGTTTCAGCTGAATCCCTTACATCACTCCTGGCGTCGAAAGGTAAAGCTGGAGTGGTCGCTCCTCCTCACCTTATTGTTTTCTGCCCTTACAGAGGGATGCTGCAGCCTAACAGCACAGAGGGGGGAAGAGAGAGGAGGAGAGAGGCGGAGAGAGGAGGCAAGGATGAGGGGGATGGGAGGCCGTAAAAGGGCTTTTCTATAGACAACAATAGAGCACAGATGTTCATACTGTAGAAATCTATTTGTAAAAACTGTGTGCCTGCAGGCTGTGTGTGTTTGCATGGACAAGTCTGGCTTGGAGATGTGTGAGGAGAAGATGAGTCTGTGTTTACCTCTGATTTAATGCAGGAGTTATATGTGGAGTAGGAAGCATGGCCCGGGGACTCCTGCATGTCTATATTTCCGTTCTGTTCTCCAAAGGTCCTGTATGAGCTGTAAAAAGCTGGACTTTGCTTACAAAAAGTATACAAAGTGTATACTTTGCAATTCAATGCAAAGGATGTCAGTAAAGTGTACTATAAGTACATAATGTCCAGAACATAATGATACCTTCAAACTTGAATGCCACCCTTTGGTCTGTTGCAGTGTTTACTGTAAATGATGGCAACATGTAAAACTCCTCCTCTTTTAAGGCTTCAACAGTAAAACTCATCTCATGTCTGCAGTACATATTACATCAATCAGAAATCAAAGGTGCCTCATTTACAGTGCATGAAAACAAGTTGTGTACCTTTGATGTATTGATCATTTTGGGTCCAAATTTTTTCAGTTTTCAAATCAGGTCATTTCTTTATATAGTAACCTATCAGTTCTATATCTGCCTGGGGGAGACATCAGTGCTCCTCCTCTCCTCTTTCTACCATATTTTTTGTCTCTGACTTTTAAAAACAGGAACATAAACTCACAAAGGTTCAGGGTTCACAGGGGAAGCAAGAGTAGATTCTTGAAGAGTGAAGCTTTAGCTTCCATACCCAGTGGGAGATGACCTGAAGAAAGAGGGCACAGAATGAAAGACAGGTGAAGCAAAGTGTTGACTCCACTCCAAAATTAATTACAACTGGCCATCTTCTACTGTAGACAAATTTACTTTACATGGTCTTTGAAGTAATTATTTTTAATTCTCAAAAGGAGACAAATGAGTTTTAAATACTATTACTAAGGCTGGTTTTTACTACTCACACAATTTTTGTCCATCTTTATAATGTGATGTTAACTCTTTCATGCATAGTAGTCACTACAGTGGAAAACTATCTAAAAGCGATTTTCTTGTGCTTCTTGTGGATTTTTATGTTATAAATGCACACAGACCACTGAAGTGGACACTAATACATCATAAAATACACTATCAACTACTGGCCATCAGCTGCAAATGCAAGAAATTATTTTTGTTAAATCCAAAATGGCCGACAGACAAAAAGCATGCCAACCGACCGGGTCCCTCCTTCCACTGTAGACCCTCCAGGTAAAAAAAAATAAATATTGTGACATCAGATAACCCCTAAAGAACAATACTACTGATGTATTTTTCAAATAACAACTTTGTATTTGGAGAAAATTACAATGGATCACCTAAAAAAAATAATGTTTACAATGTTTTTTTTTCCTACTTTTTTTTATGCCTTAGGAAAATCAATGCAGATTTGGAAAAAAATCCTGACACAAATGATCATAATTCATGCATGAAAGGGTTAAGAATAAAATGTTTACATTTGATCAGATATTTAGTTGAGTAGCCAATAAACCTTATTGGTCTTGGTTTTTAACTTGACTGACTTTTTTTTGGTGTCCTAAAATATCTTCATGACCTTTTTAAGAGTTGATGAGCTTCTGAGTGAAGCACCGTCCATGTTAAGCATTGCATCATCAGCACAAAAGTCTCTTCCAGAAATAAACGCCTTGCTGAAGCTCTTGGAGTTGCATAATTCCACTTAGCAGTACTGTACTGTTGTGGGGTCCCTTCAGTTGGGGAAATGGTAGGGGACAGTTAGGGTGGAGCTACTGGTGCCACACAACACAGTCACTTGATTGGAGGTCAGAAAATGTTGCTGCTTGTGACAGCCATGAAACATACTGAACCAACACACTTGCTGTTGTACTAGTATGACAACACAATAGGTGTTTGGTTTTAACCCCTCCTGATCAGTGAGAGTCTGCCCAGCAATGGAAACTCTCACCTGAATATGGTGCGGCATAGAACAGAGCACTGAACCACAACGCCCCGTGGAAATGAGGCATAAGGAATTCCTTTCACCAGCATTTCCAGAAGCCATCAGTGAGATAATGTGTATGCTTCCACCTGCATTTATCATACTGGTCATCTTTGCCAAACATGTCAGGAGATAGATCTGTCTTAAAAGCAGACTAGTCATCTTTTTCATCGCAGAGTCTGTTGGCCATTTTAGGTCCCCAACCAAGATCCTCAAGAAAATCCTTCAGAATGTTAGAATTAGCAGAGCTAAAGGCTTTTGAGTAGTTCCTGTGGTTTTCCACCTGTGTGCAGCAGCAGCAGCAGCAGCAGCAGCAGCAAAAGACAATCTTAATCAGTGTGGGTGCAAAATTCAATGCTTTTTTTCTTGGGATACTCACAAACAGTGGATTAGTGGGAAACTTTCTTTCAGAGTCTATCAAGCGCTGCTTCATCATTGAAGTTGGTGATCTGTGTATGTTTATAGCTTAATGGCTTACAGGGCTGAACAAAGTGGTCAACACTGGGTGCTGGCAAGACCCATGTGACAATTGTGGAAAATTGGCACGTTTTTCTTTTTTTTTTCTTCATCCAACCCCTTCATCTGTTCCTATGATGCTTTTAATTATGCAGCTAAGCCATTCCAGCTTTAAAATGTCAGGTATAGATTCACCTTCAGTCTGTTATCTAATTATTTAAAAAAAGGAATACAGCACTCCCAGAGGCAGACTCATTTCTGCATAAAAGGAGCAAATTATGAAAATGAAACCTGACAGGAAAAGCAAGCAGAGACTCACATTCTGTTCACACAGTTTACATAAATCACATGAATTACAGCTAATACAACTTTTGGCTATTTGTGCACCAAGAGCATGCAACTTATAAATAAAAATGGGCCTTATATTAGCTTTTCACTTCATATTTATTTATTTATTTCTTTTTGATCTGGTATGATCTCTCCTTGGCCAAATAACAGAGAAAATATTTTTCAACAAACCTTTCTACACTGAAATCTAATGAGTTCTTTTTACTTAAAAACCATATGCAAACGTGTTGCCTCAAAAAAAAAAAAAAAAAAAAAAAAGTTTGCATTTTCTTAATGAAGAAACAACCCTGTTATGGCCCCTGGCCTCTTGAGGCTGTGCAGGTTCCCTCAGCGTAATACGAGTAAAACAACATTGAAACAATGTCAGGCAGAGACATTAAATCTATGTTGAAGCCTGACATTGAAATTGAATTGAAAGTGGTCGGTGACTTGCATGTTGAATCAACGTTAGGGTTTCAACCATAACTGACACTATATCAATGTTGATTCAACCTTCATTTGAACGTGGATTTGCATGTATATTTGTGTTGATTTTACACTGAATCAATGTTGATTCAACCATGATCTGACTGTATCTGCGTGCAGGTTCATGTTGATGTTACACTGAATTGATTTAATACACCAGATACAGAAAAATAGAGCAAAATGTGATTTGTACTGTAGTTGGAAAAATTATTTACAATTTATACAGGATAAACTTCCATCAAATAACTGGTTCAATCTTCCATTAACCACAACCATTTCCAAATAAGTTGATGATTAAATTCATTCAAAAATGTCCATATGCTGGTAAAGATCCCACACAAGTAGTAGTAGTACAGTTCAGTTTAACCAGTTACCAATCCAAGAATCAACAGACTGAATCAGTCTTTAGCAGGTTTAGATCAGTGTTTCAGCCCACCTGCCTTACATGTTTTAGGTGTTTCCCTTCTGCCACAACTGGATGAATCTGTGGATGATTAACAGCCTTCTGCAGTTCTTGATGGCTGCAGAAGAGATCATGCAATCATCTAACTCAGCTCTTCTGGAATAGAGGTACATATAAGCAGATCCCTATGCACATCATAATAAAAAATGGAAAACAAGTGAGTTGAAATGATTTAAAGCCCACCTGCAGCAACCAGCCTTACACTTCCTTGTGCACCACATGCTCTAGTGATGGGCAAATGATCCCTCATGAAGCAATGAAGCTTTCCAACCCTTTGCTTTGCAAAAAGGTTCATTACTCAATGCTTCAATCATCACTCACAAGTGACATCTGCTGGTGAAACTGTAACATCCTTGTCACTTAGTTGGATCATACTTCCAAAAATTACTTAATGCAATATTGTCACAAAGTTTTCATCAAACTCATGTTTAGCAACTGGATAATCAATGAAACCATATTTAATTGTCATATGTTTTAATTATTAAAATTATTTGTAACCAATCTAATCCTGGTTTATGTTGAACGTTAGTGGTTGTGTCGGGTTTTCTTTTACGTCATAGATGGATTTGACAATAAAGACAATTGATGTTTTAATGTCTTGAGAGTGCAGTGTCTCTTGGGGCGTTCACTTTTTCTTGGATTTCTAATTGGCTCTGATCCCTCATATTTGGCTACATGTTGAATTTTAGTTCTGCAACAGGATTAAATCTGTTTCTGCTGTGCAAGACTGATATATCTTTGCTAATCAAACTAAATAATAGTGGAACTTTCCAGAAGGTGAGAAATTGGGAGGTGGAGGGTTAATTATTGTTATCTAAGAAGAATTTTATTGTGAGAGATAATCTCAAAGAATTCCCAGATGTCAGATATTTTCATCTTGCTGGCTCCATTTCAGACAATCAATCAAGTTTATTTGTGTAGCACGTTTCAGCAACAATGCAGTTCAAAGAGATTTACATCATAAAATCACAAAAATATAGTTATAAAAAAAAACATAATCTACAATTGAGAAAACCAGTAACAAACATTACATTTTGATGAGTGCCATCATAAATACACATCGAATATGTTGGTCAGTGTTCATTTTATTTGGCCACTGAA